AAACTAAAGTTGAACACTAAATTCCTATACATATCAGGGTCATGAAACATAATTAATAAAGGTTTATTTAACTGTGGAGAATATATCAAAAGTTCAGGTCAAAACTGATGATTCAAACAAGAGTGTGTTAGTTCGGATACTGTAATAAAATAGTGTGTTAGTTCGGATACTGTAGTAAAACATCACTGTTCTGAACAGATTGTCTGTATCCTCATTAGTGTTGTAAGCATTTGGAATGGATGGAGACATGTTGGTGAACTCAGTCCTGAGATATGGAATTTTGATGAACTTTACTTCTAGTCTATTAGAAACATGCCTAAGGGGATCATTGAAACATTGGTATAGGTGCCCCCACACACACACACAGGAGTACACACACTATTTGTGTAAATATTCATTGAAATTAAATATGTTTCCTCTAAGATTGTGGTAAAATGCTGACTCCTTAAATCATGTATATGAGTAAACAGTTTTAAAAACTTTATCAGTGACTTTATGCAAATGAATTTCTTTGTAGTGAAGGTGCTTTTTGCATTGAGGCCATTTTTTTAAATGGTTTTAGTTTTGATCGTAAGTGGTATATTTCAGAAGCAGTTTTCCTCTCAAAGTATAAATATTAATATAATGATTTAAAATTTGTATTGGCTTTCGTGTTATTACTAAAATTAGCCTAAGAAATACTAGTGAATCTAATTAAAAAGGAACTGATTTTTTTGAATCATGCCTAAAGTTTTGATTTTTATAAATGGAGTTGAAGGTTGGTGGCAAACATTCCTTATACCACAGCACAGACTAGTGGATCCTTTAAGTGTCATTGAAGAGATCCACTTGGAGCTGCATAGTCGGATCTCAGATTTCCAAGATGTGCTACTTATATTACAAATAACTAAGCCTGCCAATACATTTGCATAGGTGCAGTAGAACTTGCTTTTACACATGCAGGAGATTAAAATTTAGATACAGTTGATTATCCACTATTGATTTTGTTCTTTAAAGCAGAATATATAAATTCTTTATCCTGCTTAATAGTTACACTTTGTGTAATCCTATAAAATTGTAACTTTGTAAGAACGGAGAGGAAAAAAAGGCAAAGATTTAAGCAATATATTAGCATTTTACCTATTTCTTTGTAAAGGAGTTATCAGTAACACTTCATATAGATGCATTATAACTAGATGAAAATTTTCATTATTATTTGTATAAAACAAAGTAGCTTAATTATACTAATGCCAGTTTTGAATTTTAGGGCATAAGAAAGAAGAACGGATGCTTTGTTTCTTCTTTTACATCTTTAATTCCACCCCTTAGACTCTAATAAAAATCATATTTTTAATCTATTTTTTAATATTTCTTTCTTTTTAAATTACATTTATCTCACAGCAGAGACTAGAGTACTGATATCATCTGTGTTGAAAAGGGACCATTTAATTTCTGTATTCCCGAGTATTCTGAAAGAATAAGAACATGATTGGATTCTAAGTAATATTTTCACCTATCATACACATTTTATTTCATTTCATTAAATTAGTTTTATTTTTTGTATGCAGAAAGGAATTTCTTCCACATAGTTTGAGACTATGATTAAATGCTAGAGAATAAGAACTAACTTTAAAGGCATTGTACATGGAATTTTTCTTCTAATATGAAAATTCATATCTTTATTTAGAAATAAAGCTCTAAAGAATTATGTATGGAAATCATTAAATGGTCAGATATATAGGTATATCTCCCAAATGCATGTAAAATTTTAATACTGTTTATTGAACATATGTGAAACTTAATAGTGTAGCTGAGAACCAGTACCTAACTTTATGTTTCCCTTCATCCTTGGTCAGAGGAAGAAAATATATTATTTTGATCTCATATAGGCTATCACACAGGGATAAGAAAAATATGACTTTCTGTGTCTGGTCTATTGTACCTGTAACTGGTTATTATTCTGTGTCTATTTTCAGTATAACTTGAGGAAGGTTAGGTACTTTTAAAATAAAAGAATATAATGTCAATTTAGTTTTGAATTTTTCTAAATAAACTAATTAAAATTTTGTTGGTGTGTTCTCTAGGGAAGGCATGATAAATTTTTTTACTTTCACTAAGGTAAAGCACCTCTATTTTGAGGGTATTTTCTAAAAAAAGATATAGATTTAGTCTATAACAGAAAATAAATTGTCTTTAAGACATATTACTAGGGAGTTTGGAAACATTTGTTTTCTCTCCCTCCATCTACAAGTTAGTTACTTTTTTTTTTTATGCCTACAGATTCCGTTCTGATTGGTGTTCATCTTCAAACTGCGATGAGATCCATGACCGGGTAAAAAATGTCTTGAAATCACATCAGGCTCATCAAAGACATTTATATGTTAGTTTCTAAAATTTTTTCTTGAAGGCATTTTATAATAGGGCAAGAAAACTACCTAAGATGCCTAAAACCTGCTATATTTAGTCTCTGGGGAAAAAAGAAAAGAAAGCAACCTTCATTTGATTTTTTTTGTCCTTTTTGAGACTGGCTGCACCGCGCTCAGCCAGTGAGCGCACTGGCCATCCCTATATAGGATTCGAACCTGCGGCGGGAGCGCTGCTACGCTCCCAGCGCTGCACTCTCCCGAGTGCACCTTGGGCTCAGCCCTGGGTAGATTCTTGATATGAGTTCTGAATCAGATATTGTTTTGTAATTTTCTTTCCTACTCTGTTTTGTGATTTTTCTTTTACCTTGCCTTTTCACTCTCTTAATGGTATCTTTTGATGAAAAGTAGTTCTTAATTCTAATGAATACAATTCATTATTTTTTTCCCTTTTGATTAGCGTTTCATAAATTTTGTCTACTTTAAGACTTTCCCTTTTGTTTTTTTATAAAGGGTGTTTTTATTTTCTTTCACATTAAAATATATGATCTATTTGGAATTATTTTTTTTCTATATAGTAGTAGCCAGTTATCATGTTCCAAGAAAGGTTTAAATTTCACGATCATGGATTTGTCTATTTTTCTTTCTAGTTCTGTTCATTTTATTTTGTATATTTTGAAGCTATGTCATTGGTTGGCTAGAGATTTCATACCACATTATGAACTTTTTATTGTTAAATGTGCCTCTATCTCCAGTAATATTTCTTGTTTTACAGTATGTTTCATCTAATATTAGTATAGCTATAGCAGCTTTCTTTTGTTCGGTATATATATGGTATAGGTGTATATTTTTATATCATTTGCTTTATATCATTATACTTATATTGCATATTTGAGTATGAGATTTTTTAAAAAATTGTAATTTATCAATATACAGTGTAGTTGACTTTTGTGTCCCTTTACCGATTCTTTTCCCCCCTCCTTCCCTCTCCCATCCCATCAACATCATATTTGTTCACACATCTTAACAAGTTCAAGGAATTGTGATTGTTGTGTCTTCTTCCCCCACCCCTCCGTTTATTTGTTTGTATATTTATTTGTTTATTTTTATTAACTCCCACAAATAAGTGAGAATATGTGGTATTTCTCTTTCTGTGCCTGGATTATTTCACTTAATATAATTTTCTCTAAGTCCATTCATGTTGCTGGGAATGGTAGTATTTCATTTTTTTTTTTTTGTAGCAGAGTAGTGTTCTATTGTGAAGCTATACCACATTTTCCTTATCTACTCATCTGATGATGGGCATTTAGGCTGGTTCCAACTCTTGGCTGTTGTAAATAGCACTGCAGTAAACGTGGGAGGACAGATATCCCTCTAATATGACAATTTCCATTCCTCTGGGTATATATCCAGTAGTGGAATAGCTGGGTCATATGGTAGATCTATCTGTAATTGTATGAGGTACCTCCATACCATTTTCCATAAAGGCTGCACTATTTTGCAACCCCACCAACAGTGTAGGAGGGTTCCTTTTTCTCCACACCCTTTTCAGCATTTATCATTCTGCCTTTTGGATATTAGCCATCCTAACTGGACTGAGATTGTATCTCAAAGTGGTTTTGATTATCATTTCCCAAATGCTGAGGGATGGTGAGCATTTTTTCATGTGTCTATTGGCCATTCCTATATCTTCCTTCAAGAAATGCCTGTTCAGCTCCTTTGCCCATTTTTTAATTGGATTACTTGGTTTTTTTGCTGTTAAGTTGTTGGAGTTCCTCATATATTATGGATATTAATCCTTTGTCAGATGTATATTTCGCAAATTTTTCTCTCACTCTGTTGGTTGTCTTTTCACTCTGTTAAATGGTGTCTTTTGCTGTGCAGAAGCTTTTTAGTCTGACATAATCCCATTTCTTTATTTTTCCTTTCATTGCCTGTATTTTGGGGGTTGTATTCATAAAGTCTGTACCCAGTCCTACTTCCTGAAGTGTTTCCCCTATGTTTTCTTTAAGGAGTTTTATTGTTTCAGGACATATATTTAATTCTTTAATCCATTTTAAGTTAATTTTGGTATATGGTGAGAGGTACAGGTCTAGTTTCTTTCTGCTACATATGAATGTCCAGTTTTCCCAGGACCATTTACTGAAGATGCAGTCTCTTCCCCAGTGTGTAGTCTTGGAGCTTTTGTTGAAGGTCAGATGGCTGTAAGTGTATCAGTTGACTTCTGAATTCTCTTTTCTCTTCCATTGGTCTGTGCATCTGTTTTTATGCCAGTACTGTGCTGTTTTGGTTACTGTAGCTTTGTAGTATGGCTTTTTTTTGCTCAGGATTGTTTTGTTTATTCATGGTCTTTTGTTATTCCATATTTGTTAGAATTGATTTTTCCTTTCTGAGGAGAATGTCATAGGAATTTTGATGGGTATTTCATTGAATCTGTAGATCATGTTGGGTAGTATGGACATTTTCACAATGTTAATTCTTTTAATCCAAGAGCATAGGATACCTTTCTCTTTTCTTGTGTTGTCTTTAATTTCTCTCAACAGTGGTTTGTATTTCCCATCGAAGCGATTTTTCACATCTTTGGTTAACTTTATTCCTAGGTATTTTATTTTTTTTGGTGATTATTGTAAATGGGCTAGCTTTCTTGACTTCTTTTTCTGCTAGTTCATTGTTGGAGTATAAAAATGATACTGATTTTTGTGTGTTGATTTTGTATCCTGCAACTTTGCTGAAATCATTTATCAACTCTAAGAGTTTTTTTGTAGTCTTTAGGCTGTTCTATATGTAGGATCATTTCATCTGCAAACAGGGACAGTTTGACTTCATCTTTTCCACTCTGGATGCCCTTTATTTCCTTCTCTTCCTTGATTGTTCAGGCTAGTACTTCCAACAATATGTTGAATGGGAGTGGTGAGAGTGGGCATCCTTGTCTTGTTCCTGTTCTTAAGGGAACTTTCAACTTTTCCCTATTCAGGATGATATTGGCAGTGAGTTTGTCATATATGGCTTTAATTGTGTTGAGATACTTTCCTTCTGTACTCAATTTATGGAGAGTCTTTCTCATGAATAAATGTTGAATTTTGTCAAATGCTTTTTCAGCGTCTATAGAGATGATCATATGGCTTTTGTCTTTGATTTTGATGTGGTATATCACATTTATTGATTCGCATGTGGTGAACCAACCTTGCATTCCTGGGATGAATCCCACTTG